AAGTTGATCGCTATTTGAGTGCAAGTGGGTACCTTGGGGATAATACTCGTCCATATTTTGTGGCACTGCCCAAGGATCGAACTGCGGTCTCTAATGAGGAGTTCCGCAAACAAATCTCTCAGGTTGACGCAGAAATATTGCGGTATCTGCGGGAATGTGTTAAGGGGGGTTTCGATGAGGAGAAGTATAGGTCCAATGTTGGGTTTGGTTGTCTTAGAGATTATCTGGAAACTGAGCTCCAGAAAAGATACAAAGAAGCTGCACCTGCTACACTGGCTCTGCTTGAACAGCGTTGTAGTGAAGTAACTACTGAAATAGCCAAAATGAATTCCAAAATACAGGCGACATCTGATGTTGCACATCTTCGAAGATCAGCCTTGCTGCATACTGCTGCTTTATGTAATCACGTGGTCAGTTTATTTTCTATCATTTAAATGTTTAATTTATGGCTGATATCTTCATCTTCTGTTATGGAGTACTTGTTTCTTTATGCTGCTTGTTCATGCAATCATAAACTCAAGTCAATTCCAACATCTGCATTTTCTGAGTACTTTACTCATTCCTTATACCTCTGGGAACCTGCTGCTTTTGAAGGTTGCACTTATCGAAGGAGCAGCGGACCCTGAACCCGAGCAATGGGGAAGAACCACAGAAGAGGAAAGGTCAGAGAGTGGTATTGGCAGTTGGCCTGGTGTTTCAACAGATATTAGACCTCCGAATGCAACACTTTCCCTTTATGGAGGTGCTGCATTTGAAAGGGTTATGCACGAATTTAGATGTGCTGCATATTCGATTCCATGCCCCACTGTGTCGAGGGAGAAGGTGAGTATATGTTATTCAAAAAAATCAGTTATTGAGCAACCCTAGAATTGCAATTGAGAATGCAATTTACAGAGTTTATGTAACAGGTAGCAAATATTTTACTAGCCCATGCCGGCAGAGGTGGGAGTAGAGGGATTACAGATGCAGCTGCAGAGATTGCAAAGGCTGCAACACGCTCTTGGCTTTCTCCTCTTCTTCAAACTGCTTGTGACCGTTTGTCCTTCGTTTTAGGAAACCTCTTTGAACTTGCCATTGAAAGAAATTCTCAATGTGGTTCACAATGTGAGTATTTTTCAAGTAAAAAAGATCCATTTGTTCTTCAGTTTGATCGTCCTACCTGCATCTTTTAGTTTTATGGAGTAGTTTCATATCAGAATACACGATGATACGTAAATTTAACTCCCTCTTCCCAAAAAGAGACTTCCATTCCAAACATTTTTCATTTTTGTCCCAAAAAAAGTCTAATTTGATCATGCTATGTACTTGCATATGATAAATTTAGTTAAACCAACTAATCAAAAGATCCTTGAGCTATGGTTGTTGTAAATTACCAAAATTAAAAGGTTGTACATTGATCAAACATGACTCTTTTTTTATCGAGGCAGTTACTAGAATGATTGTTTGACAATTATCAGTCAAGGAAAGCATGATGGTTGCAATACTTCTTTTAATTTGTTGGTTTAACTAAGTTTATCATATGCAAGTAGATACCATGTTTGTGATTCTCTTTGAGAAATTACATGAACAATGCGGTGTAAAATATGAGTTACAATTTGCTTGGCATCCTTGAGTTCTTTCTTGTGAAAAATTCATCTTTAAAACTGTCATTCTGATTTGTAGATGGGGATAAAGATGGAGATGTTAATGGATATGTTGGTTTCCTTGCCTCTCTAAGGCAGTCTTACAACCGCTTTCTAAAAGATCTCTCAACACAGTGCAAGCAACTTCTTCGGCATCATCTTGATACGGTCACTAGCCCATACTCCCAGGTGTGCTATGAGGACTCATTGGACACTTCTTTTGGAGCTGCTCCAAACTCTATATATGGCTTCAACCAAGCCTCAACTGGTTCATTTTGTCTTGAACTGTCTGATGGTGGCGGTGGGCCCTCATCTCGCAAGGAGGTGGTGGTAACTGAAGAAAACCAAGAAAATATGCCTCCTGGACAGAATCTGCAGGAAACAACACCGGTAAAATCTGGAGAGGCCAAAAGAGGGGATGCTCTTCGTGAATGTCAAATGACTGTGCCTGAAACACCATCTCCTGATCAACCTTTTGATGACACAAATTATGGGTTAAAAAAGGAACTTGTGAACTGTGTTGAAGTCGGAGCAAGAAAACGCCAGTCTAGATTGATTGGCAATAACAGAAACCCTGATCATATGAGAGGCCAAAAGGTAAGCCGCACATTAGGGAGTGGGAGTAGTAATTCGACAATGTCACCTTATGCAGAGATATGTTCCCTTGCTGCAAAGCATTTTGGTCGAATGCGAGATGTTCTGGTTGAGCAGAGTGTGTCATCAACTATGAACTCTGGATTTCTCACTCCTTGGTAAGTTACCTAATCTTTCAAACTTGTTTGACTGTTATTCTCAGTTTGCTTGAACTAATCCTATATATTTAACTTTGTAGTCGAGAGAGGCTTCTGGTGTCACTTGGATTGGATTTGTTTGCTGTCAGTGATGAGAATTTCATGGACATGTTTGTTTCGCCCGGAACCATTGATGTCCTTGAGAGTGAACGCCAATCACTCCAGAAGCGACAAAAGATACTTCATACTTGCTTGAATGAATTCAAAAATGTGGCTAAAGGACTTTGATCAGGATATTAAATTCAAAATAAAAGCTCTCATGATCTGATTTCCTATGGTATTGGGGATGATCCACCACTTCTTGGCTTCACTTCTTGTGAATAGTCATAGTGTTCTAATGCTATCACAACCTGAAGACTTTGTTATTCTTGTTGCTGTGTACCGGATGAATTCATCTACATAGATTCAAGTGTTTCGATTCTGTAGTTGTTTTAGCTTAGCAATTCCCATTCATTTCTTTTAATTACCCATGTGATATTTTAGCTTAAGCAATCTTGTAACACCGATGTAACTGGTCACCCCCTAAAATCTACTAGCCTGTTCATGAGCTTGCAAATATGAGAATGCTATACTTATTCAGTGGATATACCGTGCAACCGGTGCATGGTGAGCACTATGCACTCTTTGTTATTTTTTATTTCTCTTTTTCTTAAAATTGTTAATAATTTTTTTATTTTTGATCCGATTTTTATAAAATTTATATCAAAATTTTTTATTTTTAATGATCTTTCAAATGAAACTAATATTGCCTATGTAAAATTTTAACATATTAACATTTGCGTGTAAAAATATGTAGGTTTATGTGTTAAAATATGTAACTCACGTTCAGTCAGGCCAAATGCAACTTGTGTGTATAAATATGTAACTCTACGTGTAAAAATATGTAACTTTACGTGTAAAAATATGTAACTTTACGTAAAAAAATATGTAACTCGCTTTCAGACAGGTCAAATGCAACTCGTGTGTATAAATATGTAACTCGCGTGTATAAATATGTAACTTTAAGTGTAAAAATATGTAATTTTACGTGTAAAAATATGTAACTCGCGTTCAGACAGGCCAAATGCAACTTGTGTATATAAATATGTAACTTTACGTGTAAAAATATGTAACTTTACGTATAAAAATATGTAACTCACTTGTATAAATACATAATACAATAAATTTTTTATTTATACAATTTTAAGATAAATTGTGATTTACACGATTATTTTATAGTATTAAATTTAGTTCGGTTTTCCTTATAATCCAATAATAATTTATATAATAGTTCCATAATTTGTTAAAATTACATCAGCAATATTGGTCTCATTTGATAGATCATGAAAAATAAATAAAAAAGATATAAAATTTATAAAAATCGGATATCAAATAAAAAAGTTAATTACAATTTTAACAATAAAAAGAATAAAAAATAATGGAATCAAGCCACTGCAGGCCACTGCTGCGTCGTTTTGCAACCGGGCGCACCATCCTCATGGTGCGCCAGTTGCACGGTATAAATTGCCATACTTATTCGTATTATTATTATGTAATTATTAATTAATTAATTAAAATGCTATACCTATTGGTGTTATTGTTATGTAATTAATTAATTGATTGATTGATTATACACCTTAAATGAAATTCATAGTTTTAGTTTATCAGAGTAGAAATGAGAAATAGAGAACTAAACAACGGAAAGAATAGAACGGATACTTTCAAAAAAACGAGGCCTACTTGAATGATCATCTCTCTCATACAAAAACAATAAAATCACTCACTTATGAGGTTCATTTTTTTCAAACAACAAGGCGCTATATATGATTATAAGGGAAAAGTAATTATGATTGAGATATTTATATAAACTATGAGCTCTGCCATCACAATATATTCAATAATGACGTTAAAAGCTCGTTTAGTAGCACGAAAATCGGCTGTTTTGTCTGATTCTGCTGATACAAGAAAAAAATATTTTTAAAATATATTTTATTAATAAAATAAAGAAAAAATTATATGTAAAAATAGCTAAAATGATCATCTACAGTAACTTCAGGCAATACAGTCAGAAAAGTAACTCCAACCTTATTTTTTCGGCTTATTACACAATTCAGCTCGCGAAAACAAAATTTGCGTGTTTGGTAAAAAAGTTGACTGATAAGTCTGATAAGCCGAAACTGAGGGTTGCCAAACGGGCTCTAAATCTTGTACAAGTATTATTATGTAATCATTTTTCGTTAATATGATTTTTTTCACTTTGATTATTATAGATTAATGAGTGACACTAATGGTAACATTTTGATGTAAGATAATGACTCTATTATAACTATAATGAATGATTTTAGTTGTGATTTTTCGAATAAATTTCTCCTTACATTTTAGTTTATTATTATTATTATTATATTTTCAATAATAAAATAAAATAATATACGAGTAATATATTATTACAATGGTAATAATGATATATTTTCCTATCTCTTTTAATTTTAAAGATGTTGACATTTAATTTTAAAAGAATATTATAATTGTTGCATCAATTTTTTTATCAAAATTATCAAAGAAAATGATCAAAATTACGGCCCTCCCTGTAAATTTTGCGACCTCATATTTCCGCTTCGAACTGGAGGGCATTCACAGCCGGCTCCAATGTCAGGCACAGCGCGTCTCGTGAGCGACCTTAAGAGATTCGCAGACCTTCAGTTCAGCCTCTTCACTAAACGCTATGGCCACCAGATTAGGGACATTCTCGAATTCCCCATAAAGGTGGTCTTGACCCCTTTCACACTTCCCTTACAAATTGCTGGCTCCGCCCATCGTGGCTATGGCGTCCCAGAGTTCATTTCTAATCTCTCTTATTCTGCAATTTTCGTAAGTAACCATTTCGATTTGGTGGAGCTTCATTTTCGTTGACCTTTGCTCCTAACCGATGGTTCACCATATGTTTGTTCATTTGCCAGTTAGAAGTCTTGTACATATTATTTTCTCTTCTAAAACATAAAACGTGGCTCACAAGTACTCCTTAAATTGGTGCATAGGCAGTTGCTACGTTGGGAACGTATGATATTGCATTGGAGCTGGGAAAGAAACTGGTTTGTTCGAGGTAGTTAAATAGTAGTAGCTGGTCTTAAGACAACATCAACTTTCTTTGTTTACTTGAAGATTATAACACTACTGTTAAAAATGCATTTTGAACTCCAGTGACTGTAGGACTTGCAATGGCTGGAAGGCTTTGCAGTGCACAATGTGCAAGGGTTCTGGGATGGTGCAATACCAGGTGAAAGATTACCATCTGCATAGGTAGGTTCTCCCTGGTGCAAGAATCTTTGGTGTCAAAACATGTAGCCAAATATCCCGTCCTGATGAAAGCACTGACCTTTAGATGTTCATCAGCTCCATTGTAGTGTATTTATTTATTATAAATACTCTGAGCTACAGACCCTTCCTTTTCTGCCAACATGATATCCAAATTCAGCAGTGCTTTATTCAATTTATCCTCTTCAAAATTTTTTGATGGATGCTTGTGTGTTACATTACACCCATTTTTTCATTCATTCCTTGCTAGATGCAAGGAAGGTAACATCCTATATAAGCCATGGTCATAGGTCCCCCCCCCCCCCCCCCCCCCCCCTAATATTCCGGAATCTATTTGCAGGGGTGAGAAGCCAACAGCTGAATGCATTGCAAATGCCATAGCTGAGAACCGAGCTGAGTTAGTGCACTTTCCTTCAGCAGTAGACCTTCCCTTGCCACTACCATCTAAAGATTGTCCCACTTGTGGTGGATCTGTGAGGACTATGATACTTTTATATTTCAAAAAGCTTTGTTAAGTGTTTGTGTAAACTTCCGATAAGTAATTGCATTGTCTTTTTACTTAATTATATTATATAGGGTTCTATGATATGCCCAGAATGCGAAGACATGCCACCAATCAAGATATCTGCTGATAATGTAAGTTGAAAACAAAGGTGTAGTTTGGCGGTAAAATTACAACTTTTTCAGCTTTTATTGAATAAATTTCATGCTTGTTCTCAAACTTTTCAGATAATGGAGCCTCCATGGATACCGTATAATATAATGAGAAAGATAGACTACCCCTATGAGGTTAGTGCTATCATACTCTTTTAAGTCTTTCATTTTAATAGTTCACAATAATTTGAACTTCTTTGTCAGTTATATGGCTACACGCCTACACCTTTGCTCATCATCATCATCATCATCATCATCATTACCCCAGTGCCGCAAGGGCTCTCACCTACGATGGGGTAGAGTGGGGATCGGATGTACGTAGTCTTACCCCTGCACTAAAGCACAGAGAGACTGTTTCCGGATGACCCATAATGAAAATCACATTGAAAATTGCATGGACTGACTGCTACTTCATAACAAAAAAGCGCAGACAATTTAGTGAACCATTTTGCTTTATTCCATCATATTCCAAGCCAAAAAATAGTGAGTCTTTGGCTCCATTGCAAATGATGGAAAAACGCCTTGCAACTTGTGACTATTCTTCTATACTTCGCTGCTATTTTACATTTAGCATTGTTCATTGTAGAGAAAGAGTTGTATTGTAAAATCATTCATTCCTGGTTTAGGCCTTAGGGTATGTTTTGGTTTTCAATCTACCTATCTGCAAGAAATTGAAAGACAGCAGTCTAGAGCTTCTGCATTGCTTAATGTTTCTGCACATTATACTGAATTTAATTTTGATTTTGTAGTTTTGAGACCTTTTCATTGCAGCATATAGTTGAGAGTATGAAAGACCCCAGCATTGCAGCATTTTGGTTGATTACCTTACCTCAGGTAGTAGGAGGATTTAAATATGAAGATGATGTCAAAAGGAAGATATGGTGGCAGTACAAGGTATATTTCTGTTTATTATCACTTTTTTATTATATGTTATTGCCTCATTGATGTACTTCTACCTGTTTTTTAGTTTTTTCACTAATAAAGTTAACTTTACCACTTCAGTGTTTAGTATTTAATCCCACAATTATCAGAAATTACTTATTGAAGTTACTAGTTTTTTAGTTTGCTAGGATATGTCACTTGTTTTATGGCTAAATTTCATCTGTTGATCTTCACTGATATACGGTTCAGATCAGTTCTTATTTCTCATATGGAGACATATGAAAATAGTCAAATACTAATTGACTTTCTAAGATAATCAAATGGTCTTCCTAACACTTTTACACCAAGTCATCAACTAACCAAACTAGCGTTCTACAAACACTTTTGTTTCATTACACCTACACCCTCAAGTCAAAGTTTGCAACAAATGTATTTAATCCCTAGTCATCTCAGTGTTAGTGGTGATTGGGTTTAATAGTGGATGGCCAAATTTCCTTTATATGGTACCACCATAGACCTATTGTTTACAAATTCCCTATGAAGTTGGCACAAAGTCTGACATATCATTCCCACATGGTTGCCATTTAACAATACTGTGACCTCTCTAGGGTTTGGTGAAGATATCTGCCAGTTGGTCATTTGTACCCACAAATGAAGTGACAACCTCTCCAGGTGCAACATTACCTTGCACAAACAAAAAATAAACATTAATGTGTTAAGTTTTCTCATAGGATGTCAGATTGAATGCTGTATGTAATGTTGCTTGATTGTCACAAAACCTCAACCCACTTGATTTTGCAACATCATGTTTCTTACTCTTCAAAGCAATCTCCAGTCCCAAACACATCCAGGCATCCTGCATTCCAGCTCCAGCTCAATCTATCTGTATCCGTGTACGGTGTAAGCAATAAATTTTGCATTCCCATGATTTTGTAACAATCCATTTCAGAGAGATTTCTTGATGTACTACACTGCCGGCTCCAATGTCAGGCACAGTGCATCTCCTGGGTGACCTTAAGAGATTTGCAGACCTTCAATACACCCTCTTCACTAAACGCTATGGCCACCAGATTAGGGAATTATCAAATTCCTCATAAAGGTGGTCTTGACCCCTTTCACACCTCCCTTAGAAATTGCTGGCTCCGCCCAATGTGGAGCTTCACTTTTTGTCGACCATTTATAAAATATATGCTTAGATGTACTTTGCAATGGAAAAGCATAGTACGGATTGTCTGTACAAGACATTTATTCTTTCAATCAACAATTTCATAACCAAGATTCATGTAAAAATCCATAAATAAGTCTGATTTCTTATGTGTATTGTCATTTGTCACATTATGATCAAGCTTTAACATCGTAACCACTTAACTTCATTAGTTCTTTTTGAGTTTTCTACATAGAGACATAAGATGCCGATAAAAGATATATTGCGCTTTATAATGATAAATAAGGATAAAGCGCATACAAGTTTTCAATAACATGAGTATCTGCTCCATTATGTTTCCATTGTCAATTTTTTGTGAAGATATATTTGTCACAATGATAGGTAGCTATATGTAACATCTTTTGTAGTATTGCATTCTTTAAAGGTCATAGAACAATATGTCATCCAAAGGAGTGGTACATAGCCTTCCTATTGTAGTATAAGAGACATCATATGGAGCATATATACTTTAGGGTAAATCACACTTTTGGTCTCTGATTTATTTCACGTATTGAAATGTAGTCCCTATCTTTTGGTTCTCGCAAATGTGTCCCTAAAAGTGTAACAAGTTTTAACTTCAGATTTTTTTTCCAGGGGGCGTCTGGGGTAGGGGGTAGGGGGCCTGGAGTAATTACGGCTAAAACTCACTCCATTGAGTTTCAAACCCTTATGTGTGTAGCGGGTTTCAAACTCGAGACCACTCGATATGCACGGTAACCTCACACAAGCTGGGCTGGAATGCTTGGTTGTTTTAACTGCATTCTATGACATGTATAATTTAACAAATGGGACTACATTTACAACATGTTGTACAAATGAGGGATGTACGTTTTACAAATTTTCAATGAAGTCGACTACATGATTAACGAAACAAAGCCAAGGACTAAATTTGCGAAGTATTTCACCATTAAGGGACGAGAGTTACAAAAATTAAAAGACATGGACTACATGTTAATGAGGGATTAAAAGTGCAACATTTCCTATACTCTAATATTAAAAGTTTTCTGAAAATTGATCCTGTTTGTTTAACCCCGTCATTTTATAGTATTGAATAGTAGTTATTGGAAACTGATCACTAGTAATTAAAATGATGTAAATCAGGTAATATACAAATTGAGATGCAAATCTCCACTTTTCTGATGCGCTTCCCCCATAGTAGTGAATGACGAGATGTGGCGCGCGCCATATGCGCCATCGCCATGAAAAAGTGCTCGTCGCCATGGCGCCATATGCGTCATGCGCCATTCGTATATGCACCATTGCCATGCGCCATGAAAAATGCCTTTGAGCCATGGCGATCGCCATGCGCCATGATAACTATGGTTTCCCCATGTTGAAGCTTTAGATCTAATTTGCTATGAATTTCTGATGACATTGGCAACTCGTGATGTTTCTTATTCCATTATTTAGGAATCTATGCGGTACGATCTACTAAGAGATGAGGTTGTCAAGCGAAAGCCTGGATGGGAATACTTGCAAGAAGTATGGTGACTTATTGTGAATTTGTGATGCACATCTCATGAATAGAATGGGTGTATTTTTATTAATTCTCATACTACAGGCTTTGATCTCAATTGATCCTGCCCGTGCTAGGGATGATCCTGTTGTCATAAAAAATATCCCCTATTACAGGGCCTTGAAGGCGCTAGAAGCTGAAGTATTGAAACTTGACCCTCCTCCGCGTCCTAATGATTGGGGAGTAAGTCTTTACATTTTTTAATTTAAAATGTTGCTATTTCTATGTAAGCTTCAGAAGATTACAGTGCTAGAACATGAAGAAAACCTTTTTCCTGCTGCAATTCATACTGATGTTGTGGTAGATTTGATCTAAGTAGTTCAATCGGTACTTGGTGCGTACTCGGTCAAGGGCGGAGTAGCGAGTAGGACTGGTTACTTGTGATTACTAGGTGATTACTCGGTCTTGTAATAGTAACTTTTAAAAAAAAATGTCACATAATTTAATTGTAGTTGCCTAATAAGAATGTACAGAACAGAAAATAATAATTCATTACAACTAGTATAAATCATAAACATTTTATAAAGATCCATCATCTATCTAATCAATCCTCACGTCTTACTTATATCCGAAATTAATCCTGATAAGCTTTCTCAGAACCATTTATTACTGCACATTACTTATATATTACGTACTTATATATTACTACGTAATACTATCCTCCGTTCCATAAAAGTTGCAACAATTTGACTTTCACGTTTGCCAACGCGCAACTTTGACTGTAATTATATTTATTTACGTATTAGTAAACATTAAAAAAAGTTAATAATTTGGAAATTTACATTAATACAAATTTATTAATATTTTATACATAATATTTTTATTATATATATTATTAGAAAATTGTAGTCAAAGTAAGGTGTGTGAATAGTGCAGAAATTCCAATGTTGCAACTTTTATGGAACGGAGGAAGTATATAATAACAAAAATTCCTAGTAAGAAGTCTAAGAAGAAGAAAATAATTGAAGAACTGAAGAAGAAGAATAACACACCGAGACATAAAGCCTTTGTGGGAATCCTAAATGTTAATACTTCCAAGACATAGACTTTGGTAATGTTCTTTTCCCGTTCACTAAATTAAAGTCGCTATTTGTTTTCAAATCTCATTCTCCTTTTCAATCTTTCAAAAATATGTCATATTTTAGTACGACCAAGTTACTTGGTGACTTGGCGAATAAAACTAGTCACCAAGTTATGAAATACTTGGTGATTAAGGTGGAGCATGGGTGTAAAATGACTCATTGCAATTTGCTTTAACTATTATGTGGAAGGTTGTTCAGGACACTTCCACATGTTAGCTTTCTTGATTGTGTACAATCTTTGAGGGCCTGTGCCAGATGGTTGCATGCTGTTTTGGTAAAATGTACACTTTTCAGAGTTCATATTCTTGTGATGGAATGAGAAAGCAGTAGAATCATGACCATTTGGACTTATCCTAAGACCAACTCCTAAGCTATTTCTGATGGATGCTGCCTGTTGATTTATAACATCCAAGTTAATGACCATTATTAGTTGAGAGTATAAAGAAACTAGATTTCTAAATAGAATCTATTGATACCTAGCCGTGCATAAGTTACATAAAAAAAACTTCTTGGCAGATAATTATGGTTCTAACCATGGGTTAAGAATGCCTACTAGCTTTCGTTAACTAATCCTGCAAACATTCATGTAAAGCTTAGAGATTTGTATTCTGATGTTTTAGGTGATATTAAGAAAATTTCTATGTTTTCAATCATTCAGTGATGTAACGATCTGCAGGAGTTGATCCTTCCTCTTAATATATCTTCTTGGACTGAAGAAGATCTCAAAGATCCAAAAAGACTCGATGAAATGAAAGTCCTTCTTAGTGCACAAAAAGAAATTGCAGAGCAGATGCTGGATGCTCAGTGGCAAGCCGAGTGGCGGGAAGAAAAGGTCAGTATCTGCAATTCTTTTGCTGCACCATTCTGTGTTCAAGTGATATTAAATTGCTTCCTCTGCTCTTAGTAAACATTAGCATTTCATTTTTCTTCTGTAATTTAGAACCAAACTCTGTTGTTTTGGCTTTACATATGGAGATTTAGTGGTTTGGCAGTGTCATCTCCCTGTTTTGCGTAATATATTTGCAATTATGTGTCTAGTGGCTTGATGCGCCCTTTATCTGCTGCTAACCCTAACATTTATGAACTTCAGCTAAACAAAATGTTGGAGGAGAAGGTACAGCCATACATTCAGAACATTGACAATGGTGTGCTTTCTCAGCCTATTATAATAAAGAAAGAGACACAAAAGGTGCTACTCTATGCTTATTCATGTTTTGTTTTTTCTAGCTGATTTTATCACATCAAAGAGGTTCTTTAAAATGCTCCCTAATGCTCTGGTCATTTCGTGAATACAACAACAAAGCCTTTATCCCTAATGCTTCTGTTACACCCTTCTTTGTAACTCATTTGGCTTAGTTGATAACCGATATTAAATAATCACTATTAAGTAGTAAACCTAATAACTCTGATATCCACCAACCATATTGAATGGCATACCCTCATGAAAGGTGGTATAGAAGATTTCAATATCTTATTAGAGTAATATGCATACAATATTTTACACGTGAAATGTTTTATGATATATAATGTTGGCTTGGTAAACATGTGAACCTTCTGCCCTGTGTAGCAGTGTAAAAACTTGTTAGGGGTGTTTTTTTTGTTCTCTTTTTTTGAATAACCCCAGTAATATTCGCAAGTGATAAACATTTTTAGCAGTACTAACAAAGAACTAGAAACACTTTCCATTATGAAAATAATTCCTCTGTTAATTATGTTTATTATTGTTATATTATCACTAGAGATTTGAGACCACATACGGGTCTCAGACTCTTTACCTTCAAGCCGGTTTAGAAGTGACCGAAAACGTACAAACTAGACATGAAGGGCCACACCTAGTTCAAACCAAGATAGTTTTAATTTGATTGTTAGGGTGTTACATTTATATGTTAGGTTCATTTGAAATTTGGATTCTTTAATTGAAGTTCATTAGTTAGTTGAGAGTTTCATCATCTGATTTCAAAATAGTGCCTTTTCATGAGCCTGTCTGTTTTGTATTTTAGAATCAGAGTTGTGAGTTCCGACTAATAATTTAATAATTGGGTGCAGAAAAACCGCAGGCAAAGGCGATGGTGGTTCTTTTGATGACATCTATATATATATTGTATTCTGTAAGACTGTAACACAAACTATATTTTCCTGGCTCGGTGAAGTATTTTATATTGTAAGCTTTTTCTATATTGTAAGCTTTTTCTATGTTAGTACTTCAGGGGGATAAATTATGTATGATCTCCACTCCTGAATTTGTAGTTTCAGACAATAAATGGATGCTTATTACTTTCTTCCCAAACAGGAGATAATGTCAACACTCTAACACTTCCTTTACATACCTCTTCCAAAATCCTACAAAATATATCATTTTTAAAACTAAATAAACTATATAGTAATAATTTTATAAATGATGATTAACAAAAAGATTACAGTAAAGGACATAAACGATTATTCATATTTTAAAAACTCTAATAATACTTTGTTAATTTTGAAATTACTAATACGGGTATATTATTTATAAAAAGAGAAATCCTCCGAAGGTAGCACTTATAGTAACCATGACCGCTGCAATCAGGACAGTTGAAAGATGGGTTGCGGCAGGTGCTGCTGATTTCCACTGTGGTGGTTTATTAACATTCACCGGATCACTTCGGATGATTGAAGCATCGCAGCCCCTCCCTGGACTTGGTGATTCTGTTACTGGTGGAGTGTCAAAGCCTTCTAAGGGCCTTTCTTCAGGCTCTGCAACTGGTGGGTCATAGTCAGCAGGTGGAGTGTTCAAGCAACCTTCTTGTGCAGTAGCATCGGACGAAGGTGCAGAGGACACATCAGGCGGAGAAACTGGAGGATCATTAGTTTTAGGGGGTGCAGCCAAGGAAGGCTGTTGGTTGGATGGTGGCGAAGGGCAGCCATTGGGTGGCAGGGTACTGTTTTCGTTTCTCGCGGCGAGAACAACAACAACAACTTTTTGTCCTTTAAGGCAACATTCTCGATTCCCAGAAATGAAGTAAAAAGGACCTGGTCTGTCCAGCTTGAAAACCGAATTTCCATCGTCCATTTTGTTGACGGGGTTTTGGGTGCTACATTTTTCATAATCATCCCGCCCCTTCACCTCCAATACAGTATCATGTCCTTCATCATACCTAAATACTGTAGGTAACATGCACATGAAAAATCTAATTTCATTAAGGATTACACTTGCAAATAAGAACAATAAGTTAACATTTATGAATTTAGTTTAAGAGAAAAGAGATAAGAACACACATGCTCCAGAATTATGTCATAGAATAAAAATATAACTTTTATGTTTTTCTAGAATGGCTAAACACAATTATGCCTGAATAGTTGGGTAGTGTATATGTTCATTGGCATATAGTTCATTGGTGTATTTGATACGTAGTATAACTTTATAACCTTTGTGTTTAATTGTGTTTCATTGGTGAACATGGTCTCAGGACCGGACCGGACTAGGATTGGCTGGTTTTCAAACTGGGACGGGAAAATAAAGTTCGAGGCCGGGACCGAGATCGGACGGGCAGGAAAGAGGCCCTAGTCCCTTTTATTCATTTGAAGTATTCATAATAATAATTTAAAAAGGGTGCGGTACATTTAAAAGCTAAAAATGGGTGGGGAGGGTGGTGGATATGATGAAGGGTTTAAAAACATAAAAATAAACAAAAAAACGAAAAATATGACCGACCAGGACCTATATCGGTGGGGGCTAGACTGTCCCGAATCGAAAATAGAGGCCCCATCCCACGTCCCATATGAGGCTCGGTCCGGTTCCGGGCCGGTTGGCCCGGCCTGAGTCCACCCCTAATATGAGCCGTAGATACGGGATCAGAAACCGGATCGTGTCCACCCACACATATGCATTGGGAGAAGGAAGCTACACTTCTAGATGAAAAATTTGACCATCTTTAGCATGGATCCATTTGATGCACACACCTCGACCTATTTCTACCAACAAATAATCACGATAAAACGTAATATTTCGTTTCTTATGATAGAGCATCCAGTTTATATATATTATCTTCATTTAACATATAGTTCAATGGTGTGTTGGTTCTTTTTTCTATTTAATATAATGCCAGTGATTTTTTGTGTGTGAAATAAATGTAAATATCAAGAACAAATAAATTAAAAGTTCACTACAAAAAATTGAGGGATTCACATAGACTTGGCACGTGCACGAATGGATTGATAATTTTGTGCCAAATAGCTCGTGACAAAATGTTTTTTGCATGGATTTGACATATTTTGTGCCAAATAGCTCGTGACAAAATGTTTTTTGCACGGATTTGACATATTCTGTGCCAAATCTTTACGAATTTTGGCAAATTCTTGCAAAAAAGAAACATACCTAGAGAGTCATTAACCTGAAATCTCATACGAGTAGCCCAATGCTCATAACTTTCAGATGGGTTTAAAACCCACCCGTCGGAGCCACCAACATCGAATTCCAAAGCATCACAGGAAGAAAGTAACATCAAAGCAGACACAAGGAAAACCATTTTCCTCGAGAAATAATAATAAAAATAATCACAATAGTGTTTTTCTTCACCCATAGTTATCATATATTGCCCCTTACCTTTAGCTTAATTAGCTAGCTAGGTTTGTGATTTGTGAAGGGGATATATATGTGTCTGGACAGATATTGTGTTTAGTGAATATATATTTCACACCGTGACCTTAATAATAACAATAACAATAATAATGTATAGTAATATTGTTACTTAACAATAACTTTGTCTTAATTGGCTTGAGAAAACAATGTAGTGCAAAAATTAAAGTGAATGGAAAATTGAATGTATAAGAACTTGAATGAGGATAGAACTAGCTTTTAAGAGGGGAGAAGTGGAAACTGAAGCCATTAGTGTTTATATTGTGATAGTCGAAACGGAAATTACGTGGAGGTTACTGTTGGAAGATTAAAAAATATATTCGAAGGTGATATATTATGGGAAATTAAATATTAGTAAAAATAAAATTGTAATATATTTGGTTTTCATTGAATATCATTAAAATAAAATTTATGAATAACAATATGAATAATGTTAGAATGTGCACAACTTCATAGTCATTACAATTAAAAATTCAACATAATCATAATCACTAAAAGTTATATCGTCTCTACCCATCTTTATTTAAAACATACTATCACTATATACATCATTATTTCTTATGTTTTCCTTATGTCATTCCTAATTCACTCATATTTTTTACATTATCGAATACTAAGTTGACAATACTAATGTCGTAGTATTGCACTATTGTCCAAACATGGTTTTATTTATTTTTATTAAAGGGTAAATATATTAAATCATACCGAATACTATTTTACTCATATTTAAAGTAATCTCATATACTTCTTCTGTTCATAAATAAATGCAACAGTTCACTTTTCACGTTTGACGAAGTACAACTTTGAAAAATAATACTACGTATATTTTATTCTCTCTTCGTTAAAAAATTAAAAAAAGTAAGATTTTGAAAATTTACAATAAGACAAATTTAACAATATCTTTAAAAAAAAATCTATCAATGCATTAATAAATAAAGTGTAGTCAAAGTAGAACATTTGAATAGTTTAGAATTGAACGTGTTTCACTTATTCAATAAGGGAGGAATCATAAGATAGACATAGGTTTCATATATTCAAAATTTTAAAACAGGCTTAAATATGTTACTAATCCCTGCAAATATGACACTTTGTTTTAGGTCCCTGCAATTTTTCTTTTTCTTTTCATCCCTGTAATATGCACCATTTTGTTTTTATTCCTTCTCTAATTTCCAAACCACACTATTTAGAAAAAAAGTCATCATCAGTTGCATAAATCTCCTAGAAACATTTAAATCTTTCTGTTACAATTTTTTAGGCTAATATGAGAGTTAAAACAATACAAAACTAAATATTCAGGTTTTAAAAATATATATTAAAAACCTTCTATAAAATACAATTAAATACTTTTTGAATAGCTAGCATGTCAAAGAATTAAAGAAAATCTATTCATCAGGGTTATTTTGTGGTCAAGCGGATGTTGTTATCATCGGTGATAGACTAAAAAGAAAATCAATATTTAAACCTGTAAATTGTAGGAACGAAAAACAAAAACAACATAATGTAAAACCTATAAAATTCCCTTTAATATGTTGTTATCATCGGTGATGAAATGAAACCAACATAAATTGTAGGGATGAAAAACAAAAAACAATATTGCAGAAATGTAAAACAAAATATACTAGAGAAAATTCCCTAAATAGAAGTAAAAAAGTTTTAAAATTCTAAAATAAGACTATCATTTTTTTTATTCTTTAAATATGAGTAAATTTCTACCAAGTTTGACATTAGTGGGCTTTAAAATGATTTTTTTTTTCCAAACTTGACAGATTACTCTTATTCAAGGAATAAAAAACATGATACTCTTATTTTGGAATTTCAAAACGTTTTTTCTTTTATTTGGAGCAATTTCTAAATATATTATATTTGTAGGGACCAAAAATATATTTAAACCTTTAAAATATTCCAGGTTACCCAACTCGTATTTAAATCGGGATGCAAATACATCGAACAATGCATGTCCGTCATATGCTTCAGTTTCAATTAAAGTTTAAAAAGAGTTAAACTATTATATTTGATCCAGCTGTAATTGAACTCAACTTTACTCATCAATCCCAATTAATGAAAACCATTCATCTAAACGTTTCAGAACTGCATTGAGGTTAAAGTATTTTAATTCAGAAATTCAATTTTTACCTTTCGTTAAAAAAAACCAATTTTTACCTCTTTATTTAACTTTAACCCAAATAAATATGTCTCTCAAATTTAGTTATATAACTGTAAATAAAAGTACTTATTTAGTTATTATCAGCACAACTCTCAAAAGTAATTTTTATAGTTTTTCTAGGCCTGAGATCGGTTCAGTTATGGTTAAAATTTGAAAGAATCATATTAAAAATTGTAGGTGTTAATGTTCAAATATCACAAAAAATCTAAGTGCAAACATTAAATTTAAACATAACAAAAACATAAATGTTTAAATAGGCATCAACTGCCTAGCAAAAAGATTTAATACTTCCAAAGTCGCATCCAATAGCAGGTAGTTCAACCGCAAAATAATGTTCTTATATTAGTATTCCATAAGTAAAAAGTACGTAGTCATACATTGACGGGTAATATTAATAATTTATTATAATAAACAAATAACAACGTAATCAACACCAACATTAATTCATTTTTGAGTTGAACTCAAATAACAAATACAATTACAAACGAACAATAAATATAAAAGTGGACTGAAGTAGTAAAATAAGAAGTAGTCGGATTGGCCTGATCCACAATATATAAGGTGTACTATGCAAGGCAAAGATTCTTGCCAAGAATTTTCTAACCGGACGTCATCTGTCCACCTCAATTTGAGGTGCGTCTGGTAGATTTTTTATGGAACTTTGTGAGGATGTTCTACATGAAGTGTAGATTATATCCACCAAATTGCAACTTAAAATTCAATTAAAAAGTGAGTTAAATAAATTATTGAAAAAAATTGCATTATATATATATTTTATCGTAATGGTTTTCAATAATTTATTTAATTGACCTTCCAATTGAATTTTAAACTGAAATTTGGTGAACATAATTTATACTTCATGAAAAACAAGCTCACAAAATTTCATAAAAATTTTCATCTAGAAACAACTCAAATGAAGATTACTTCTGCAAATGTATAAGAATTTCGGTTCCTGCATAGGAATCGGAACCGAAATGGAACCGATTCAATCAAATACTATATGACCGAACCACAAAAAGCATAAGTCTAAAATTAAAGGGATTGAACTGATCCGGACAATTCGGTTCGATTCAGATAGGTTTTCCTGGTTTTACGGTTTCAAGTCCCAAACCTATTTTTTTCGATGAGTAAAGGTCGATCGTAAGAGATTAAAACAAGAGAAATGTGCTAAATAAGACTAAACCTAAATATAAATGCATAATAAGATTCAATGTTTTTTATTGCCTAAATAAGACTAAGCGTTACCTTTCTATCCCTAATCATTAATTTAATTACCTCCTAGTTTTCTTGCACAATCAAGGTTAGTCCGTTGGTGGTGACGGATTCTGGTGACAGGGGCAAAATGGTGGCGGCAGAGCTCCGTCGGTAGGTGGTGGCAGTTCAAACAAGTGTAGGGTACTTTTATCCAAACATTAATAATTACTCATATTTAAAGATTTTAAACCAATAACCCTATTTTTACATTTAAGACATGTTTGACTCCTACTTGGAAAATTTAATTTCACGTAATTAAATGCTACCAAAGGGCTTCACAGAGTTAAGCCAATGCAACAATTAACTAATTTAAGAATTAAATAATTAATTTCGAATTAACAACTAACTACTATGATAAAAGATTAATAAATGTAACAATTAACTACTATGATATGAAATTAATAAATGTAACAATTAGATAATAAGTGTATAAGTAGATATACTTAATATATATATATATATATATATATATATATATATATATATATATATTTATTTATAAGTAGACAATAAGTAGATTAACTAGTAATATATAATATTATGTTTATAGTATATATAATATAAGTATATTACTATAAGATTAGTAATACACTTATATATAATACTTTAATATATATAAGTATATATTAAGTATATCTAAAATGTAAATATAAGTAAATAAATTAGAGATGATTATATATCAATATATGTAAATATAATATACGTAGTAATATATGTAGTTATAAATTTGAGAAGATGAAGATGGAGAAGATTAGTAGAGAATAGAGATTAGAGAGTAGGAATATTTGGAGAAGATGTGTAGTAAATTGTATAGAAAAAATGGAGTATTTATAGTTTTTTTGTACCCCTACCCCCCCCCCCCCCCCCCCCAACCCACCCATGGACCCCAGGAAGGCTCCCAACGGCTATATAGCCGTTTGGGTTCAATCACAACGGCTCTAAGGGCCTGTTTGGTAGTCAAAAGTTTTTTTTTTTAAATATAGTCGTTGGCCCGAACCGGGCCCGAACCGGCCGGGCCGAGCCTTTCTTTTTGTGAACCGTGCCCGAACCGCTAGCCTCCCCCGGGCCGGGTAAAAGCCCGCACCGCCCATTCCGTAACCGGGCCGGGCCGGGCCCGCACAGTGGCGGGCCGGGCCGGTTCGGGGCCGGGCCGACCCGGTTTGGTCCATCCCTAAGTACACATATTATATTCTTAGCTCGAGTTCGAACATCTTATTCGAGTTCAAACCTATAAAAATAATTAGCAAAACTTGACCCGAGCTCGAATAGAGCTCGATTTGAGCTCAAGCGAAACTCGGCTCGAGTTCGAGCCCAAATTATTTAACTCTTCCAAGCTCGAGATCGAGATCGAGCTCGTGAATTCTTATCAAGCTCAAGCATACCCATGTTCGGGTTGGGCTCGACTCGTTTGCACCCCTTTTGCACCCCTAATTGAGGATGAACAACATTTCTAAAGTCCTTCATATATTAGGTCCTTTCTAGAGCGAATTTGATTGAGCAAATAATCATAAAAAATTTATCATATTGATTTGTTACTCGAAGAAAACAAATAAATGAAATGTTAGATTATTATCAAGAGAGTGAAATGTATTATCATAAGGATACCAGAAAAAGGTTAAATTAGAGATTAAAATCAAAGTTTTCAATGTCAAAGAATGTTATTACGAAATCATAATTGGTTCATTAGCATCTCAACTCTTTGGTTTTTGACATGGAGGGAGTAATTACAAAACTACACCCCACATAAATCATATTTTTTCGATTTTTTTTGTACACACTGATATCACTAACAATTTTGTTTATCAATATCACATACAAGAATACAAGATGATAGTAGTTCTAAACTTCTAATCCATCTATAGGGAAGTCTCATATTGATTCAGCATGCAATGCTTTCTCTTCATCAGAGCTAGTTGAGATCTCAACTCTGTCCCATTTGGTGAAGATAGATAGCAACAACAGACCACATGACTGAGAAGCCAGACCACATATCAAGCCAATCCACAACCCCTGTGTCACAATTTTCTCTTCACATTCAATATACAATCTCAAACTTTAGCAACTGCAGCAAGCCAGTCCATGTTAACAATGCAAGTATATATGTACAACGAACCCCCGACTCGCTGCTGCCGATGGACGAGATTTATCGGTCATTGAAAATTGAATTGCTCGTTGCATCTTAACCCGTTGTATTACAATACTATTACTTCAGGTCAATATGATAGAATGAATAGTCTGACACATCATACAAAGCTTACGATGTGGTTTGGCGTGAAATTTACATTTGATTAGTGTGAAATCACTTAGGATGTGATGATTGAGTAGTACCATTAAACTCATTAGTTAAGTTTTACTATCGATTTTCATGTTTCATAACCTTCTACCTTTATTTACTAGAAGTGTGGACTGCAAAAACTGCTTTTGTTTAGACTGCAAAAAATGCTAAGAACACAATTTGAAGACATCCTTAAAAAATTAGATACAGACTAACAGACCACATTTGCAAGCAAGATGTGTATGATCACTATCACAACTGGACTAAGTACCTTAGCATAGAGATGGAACTTGAAAGCCAAGAGTGCTGCAATTGGCAACCCAACGACATAATATGATCCCAAGTTTATGCACACGGCCAAGTGCTGCCATCCGCATCCCCTAGCCACCGCTGCTCATATATCAAAAAACACAAAACAGAACAAACGATTGAATCCGGTTTTCGTAAACCATATGAGTTTCCTCAGAGAAGATCAAATATATGAAAAACATAGTACATGTATGTCTGACCTGATAAGATTCCTTGGAAAAAATCAAAGATGAATGAGATAACAAGAAAGGGTGTCATTGAAGCAAATTTTGATATGACAACAGAACTATTGCTAAAGAGGCCAGCCCAAACATTGTGACCAATGATCAGAGAAAGAGCCGTTGCCGAAGCCAGAATGAAAGACAGCATGAAAGTCACTGTCACCGCATGCTTAGCTCGCTCGGGTTTTCCCGCTCCCAACTCATTGGACACTCTCGTGCTACATAATATATGTTTCAAATATACACTTCATTAAACTTCTGCATCATTGGACGCTGAAAGAAGATTCGAATTGCATGTATATATGGGTGTCTATGGGGCGGGTAAGGGGGTCGTTAGTGAATTTGTTACCTTGCAGTTGCGTTAAGACCATATGCGATCATGTAGGCAATGGCTTCTGTGTTCACACTGAATTCACAACACCAAAATGAGAAAATTAGCTGATCTTGTTTTTTTTTTCAACAAAAAAGTGACTATTTCTAAATGAAGTTGTTCAGTGCATTGAAAACATTGAATCAAAAGGCTCAGCTCATTTAGTCATTTGAAACAAATTTACCCAACTAAAAGAGCTTTCTTATTGGTATAAGAGCTTTAAATACTTACTAAAAGTTGCATACTTACCACATTCCAATAAGTGAAGTTGTTATCTGCGAGTTTGGCATAAGGCCTGCCAGCAACACTAGAACCTCAAAAGCCCAATACTCCACACTGATCACAAAAGACTAAAATTATTATACTCGTACTAGATTACACTAGACTTAAATACTAGATCAGACCAGATTTTGATCATACCAATTGACATCAGACCAAAAAAAATTAATACATGCAAGTGATAACATATACTCCATAAGTAGTTAGACCTTTTGGGGATTTAAAAAAATCAGTGACATTAGTAAAATAAAATAATGAATACAAATGATGCTTTAAAATGCTTCAAATGTAATGGTGATTATGGTATGTGTGATTGGTGTGAAAGTAACTGTCTTGATGTTACTAGAGTTGATTTTCACTCTTATACCAGACCAAATAAGGCCCTTTCAAACTTGATTCAATTTTTTTTTTTGGTACTTTTCAAGCTATTATAGTATTTGTTTCATGATAATTACCATTGAAAATATATAGGGAGAAACTAACCACACCATAGCAGCAGAAGGCAAAGCCAGCTTCATAGTAGTAAAGAGATGAACAAATGACTCAGAAGAAAATCCCTCCCATGTATTCTTGAACTTCTCCGAATACAACACATAGAAACCCAACATAAGAAACGATATCCACAACGAAATCGAGGCAGCCAACGGAGCGCCAACGAAACCGAGGCTTGTTAACCGAACCAAAACGTGAGTGAGCCCGACTTGGATAGCCAGCGGGACCATTGAGCTCAAGACCAGAGGCAAAACGACTCTCTGTGTCTGCATAAACCTGAGCAGGTTTTGCAGAAAGCCATAGGCGAACAATCCAGGTATGAGAAACTTGAGGTAGAGGCCGGCCAGTTTAGCTATTTCTGGTTCTTGTTTCAGTAGAACTAAGATGTGTTCAGAAAACCACCAAACTACAGAAATTATTACAGAGAAAAGTAGTGATATGATGCAAGAAGTCTGAAGGTAAATCCCCATCATTCTGTACATCTTTGCTCCATATCCTTGTCCACATAATGTCTCAAGTGCACCACTTAGTCCTACCTATTACAATGGTAATAATTATTATAATACTTTAGATAATAATAAAAATACTATAATAACAACAAATATTATAGAAATAATAAATGCATGCATGTCTGGTTTGGTGTGATAGTGTGATATGGTAGAGTCTCTTTATGTCTAGCCTAATTTAGTTTGATCTCTTTACATTTAGTTGGGGATTAGTACTCTCTCTAATCTGATTTCATATGTTTTGTATAAGAGGTTATCTCTTATAAGAACAATCATGCTGGGTTAACATGTATTAGTATTCAGAGCCGTCTCATAAAGTTGAGAGTCCTTGTTCCAAAGATAACTTTGAGGCCCCAAATTGAAATCAGGAAACCAAATATATTCTAAATATTCATTAATCTAAGCAATTGGATGCTGAATAATAAAAAACATTTTGATTCCTCTTCTGCGATTAAAGTCATTGAACTGATTACTCAAAATAATTTTAGTAAGAGGAGACTTTGAAAGTAAAATTGAACAACAAATAAAAATTGATCATCCGAGTTTGGCATATTGGCAATGAAAAGTACGGAGTAACATTTTTTTTTATTAAACAACAACAATCAAATCCAAGGAAATGAACAATAACAATATTAAATTTAACAATTCAAGATGTTTTTACTTGGACTGTAATTTGCTGGTCTAGTCTGGTCTGTTTTGGTCTGGTCTTGTCTGGTATGAAATTTTATTTTTTATATTTTTTGCATAAAGATTTTATTTTTTATATATATTTTATAATCCATAAATAATTATATTCATTTATAATTAACAATAATAATATTCCTTCCAAATTATCAAAAATTGTTATCGTTTTACTTGGTCTGATTTCAATCCCAGGCCGAAGCAGATCAGACCAGACCAGACCAGAACATACCATATCGAACCGGAATAATAATAATAATGATAATAATAATAATAATAATTATAATAATAACAATAACAATAATAATAACAATAATTATAATAATAATAATAATTAGGGGCATGCACTATCCGGTTTAAACTGGAAAACCGGACCGAACTGGACCGGAAAAACCGAAACCGGAATGATATCCGGTTCAGTTCGGTACAGTTCGGTCCAGTTTGGAGCTCAACTTGTTGCTCGGCTCCCCACGTGTTCCTTGTAATCCTTCTCTTTTCTTATCCTAATAAATGCCATTTCTATAATAATAATAATAATAATAATAATAATAATAATAATAATAAAATATGGTCTGGTGTGGTCTGTTTTGGTCTGGGACAAATTACAGTCCAAATAAAAACAACTTCAATGTGTAAAATATTCAACTCAACTTTATGAACACTCTCTAGGGTTACCCACCGGTAATGCCTAGGCCATTCCGCCGCTGCCGATTTCTCACCAGGTTTGCGCCGGGAGCCGTGTGAAGCGAGATTCCTTCTTCCGAGCTTCGTTCTCGAAGCGTCGTTACTCTAATTTTGGGATTGTTGATTTATTCTTCGAGTCGGTTCGGACGGTTGCTGAGGGCTAAGCTTTGGAAGTCAGTTAGTTAGGGAGGGTAGGTTCATCGGACTGCATCGCTTTGGGAGTAAACTCGGCCAACGATTTTACTGAGAGAAAGAGGGAGAAGGGTCGCCTGCATGGAAAGCGTGGTGGACAAGTACAGACGGATGGCTTTGGCGGAGGAGGAGGAGGAAGACCTGGACCTCGACGATACGGAGGCGGGCGAGGAGCCGAAGGAGGAGAGCAGGTCGGGTTTCCCAGTGGTCGGGGTTCTGCTGACGGACCGAAAGGTTCGATTCCCGGCGATCAAGGAGATGTTAGCGTCGCTATGGAGACCGGGAAAAGGCCGATCAGTTAAATAAGTTGGGGAGAAAAGATATCTCTTTACTTTTTATCACCATTTAGATATGAATCGTGTTCTGGATGGAGGACCATGGCAATTTGAGAAAAATTTATTGTTATTAAAAGAGGTTAAACATGATGATATCCCTCACAAAATTGTTCTGAATGAGGCAGACTTTTGGGTTCAGGTTCATAATGTGCCTTATAGTATGGTTAATTTAGGTACGACCCGGAGAGTTGGTAATTTGATAAGAAAATTCATAAAATACGATGATAATCAGAATAGTGACAAGTGGGAGGCCTATATGAGAATACGAGTGTGTATGATTGTGGAGAAAATACTGAGAAGATGTACTAATCTGAAGAAGGATGACAAAAGTTACTGGGTAGATTTTAAATATGAGAAGTTGTCAAACTTCTGTTTTATTTGTGGATTAATTGGACACTCAGACAAATTCTGTCACTTGAACTACGAAGAAGATCTAGTGTTGGAGAAAAAGTTTGGAGTTCATCTTAGAGCAGGTAGTGGAGGGAAGACGAGTCCTACATGAGGAAACCAATGGTTACTGGAGGGTTCATCGAGTTCTAGCAGGGACCATTGGTATTGGTAGCAGGGACCATCGGGAGGAAAGAATTTGGGGCAGAATCAGAACAGAGTATAATAAAGGGCACAAGAGGCGAGAATAAGGAAGAAGCAACATGAGAACAGAAGCGCAAGAGGCTTTGGGAGACTTAGGGAGATGAACTGCAAGGGAAGGAAAATATGGCACTGGATTGAACAAAAAACAGGGAGGACGCGGGCTTCGAGCAGTAAGCCTGCCTAAGAGAATTCAGAGTCAGAAGCAAGGAATCTTGATGAGGATGCAGAGCAAGCAGATCGGGAGGTAGACTATTATTTTTTATTTTAGGTTTTATTACTTCTTAGACTTTTCAGTATGTTTTTTATTTGGTTTAGCGGTTGTTTTTCCTGGTTGTAAGACATTGGATTTGGATGTGGGTGACATCGGAATTGGGGTAATCGTTTTTGGCTTATGTGTGCCCATTAATGGATCAATGAGTTATATTGCTTCTGATGAGGTGATTAACTCTGAGTCTGATTCACGGGATAGCGGTTGTCAGGATTCTATTTGTTGGATTACCCATAAATGTTGAGATTTCAATCTAAATGTTGAGATTTCAATTTAAGCCAAATTGTTCCAAAAAAAATGTTTAAAATATTCAATCAGATAACAATAGAGTTATAGAGGGAAGGGTTTTGTTTCTATGAAACACGTACTCCGCAATACCTACCTAATTTATTGCTTCATTCTGGAGTTATTAATCTTTTGTACTCCGTAGTATTCATAAATTATACTCCGTACTACATATTATTGTACAGCACTACTAACAGTTTTTTTTAAAAGAAAATGGGACCCCAAATATTGGTGGGCCCTGTTCTACATAACAAGATTAACCCGTTATTCCGTTAATATCCGACTCCATTAGTATTGCTCCCTTCATCCCACAAAACTTAGATCAATAACGTAAAATATACTTCCTTCGTTCTTTAATTCTTAAAACATTGTGATTTTTGCACTATTCATAGACCTTACTTGACCACGATTTTCTACTAATATACATAATCAAATTATTATGTATAGAATGTTATTGAATTCTTATCAATGTGAATTTCTAAAATATCAACCTTTTATAATGTTTACTAATACATAATTAAATATAATTACAGTCAAAATTGTATGTTGGCAAACGTGAAAGTCAAACTGTTCCAAGAAGTAAAGAACGAAGGATAGTATATAGTTGAGATTTGAATTCACAAGAAAGAGAAACAATTAATTTTAACCATATACTTCATATTTCTTACTTTATGGAACTAGCAAACTTTTTTGAGAAGGCCAAATAAGAAATTTGATCATATTTTGGGGTAACAAGAGGCTAATATTTTCTAAGACAAAGGGGTAACATTCAATATTTGTAGGAAAAAATCTTTTATTTGAACACGTTTTAATGTTTTATAGACTGTTTTGTACACCTATTTTGCTTGTGTATTTTTTGTCTATAAAAGCAATACGTCCTTCTATAAAGACAAACTGAGATTGTACACGGTTTTGCACACTGCAAAACGTGTACAATGATATTTTTACTTGAATTGTTTTCAGTCTCAGTCACGTTTGACCAGATCAGATCATACTTGGACATTTATAAAATACATAAACACTAGACGTTTACCAGTTCAGACCAGACCAAACCAGAAATTCCTGTCCAAGTAAAAACATCCCAATAACCACTCCTATTTCAATTCTTTACCTAGACTACTTTAAGGTGTTTGACAATTAACAGAGTGAACCGTTAGACAATGGAATGAGGGATAATAAAAAGTGTTTTTAATTTGTATAAATGTTCTATATAAAACAAAAATATGTGATTCATGTCATAGTCTGCATTTGGCAATGATTGTAATAGATACTCCCTCCGTTCCCAAAAATACTTCCCACTTTCCTTTTTGGGTTGTTCCCAAAAATACTTCCCACTTTCCCCTTTTGGACAATTTGTGTGGCTCACATTCATTTTACCTTTTTCTTACACAACCACAACCATACATTTCCACTTTATTCCACTTTCTTAATAAGCGTGTCAAGTCAAACCGGGAAGAATTTTTAGGAACGGAGGGAGTAGTTCTTTATAGTTCTGCGAAATGCTCTTTAACATAGAACAATAGTTTAATTCTGGCCTGGCAAGCTGAATTGGATAATGGGATTGAATTGCTATTCTTGAAATAAGAAACATGTAATAACTAATAATGGGTTTGTGTTTTCATAATTTCAATAACTAATTTGCTTCTTTTAATTTGTGCCGTTTAGCTTTCCATATATGCACAGGCCGAGCGAGAAAAATGATTCAGGGGTCGAAAATCAACTATGTACAAAATGAAAATAATATACAAGTACTCCGTATCATTTTAGACAATATCCGAGTTGAATATTTCATCTGTAGTTTAGATAAATAGGCACTCGTAGCAATAAGATAGATTTTCTTTGTCTTGGTTTTGAATTATGTCACGTAAGTAATGAGTTAATTATGCGTTATTTTTAAAATTTGGGAAAATAATCAATATCGCATCATTTTGCTAATTTTACGTTTAGATAGTGCTGATTTTCCAAAAGTCACAACTTTTTACTCGTAATGAATTACGGAGGCCATAATATATCAGACCGCAAATATTTCAGAGCTCTATACTCTCAAACTTTCAACGGGGTCAGATGACCACCCTGACCCCTTGGATCTGCCCCTGCATATATGACGCTTCATCCGCATATTGTTCCAAATCCGTGCTAATTTTGGACGTCAATGTAAAGTTGTGAGTATATACGCTACGTACAACATAAAGAAAATTTGTTAAAACTTAAGTCTAATTTCAGTCCGAGTTTACGCCTCTTAATAAGCCTTGTAATTCGGTCTATCGATCTTAGCTTCACAAAACAAATGTGACTTCTTTTCTGTTGCAAAATCAATACGTGACAATATTAAATTACTTAGTTCTCTCTCCATCCCAGTATCACATCATCTTAAAGTTGTTGTAATTCTGAATCATTCTTACTTTATCAATTCAATATCATTCACATAAATTCATTTTTCTTAATGACTACGCTACTTTCTCATATCTCAATATTAGTGGGACAAAGCAATATGGTTTTTTAGAAAATAATATAAATATTAGACTGGTTATCTTTGGATGATAAAAAAAAATTATTATTACTTTCGCCATAGGCGTAGCTAGGAGTATGAATTGAGCTGATCTGGTACAAAGAATTTTTATAGATAATTTTTTACACTAAAAATATAAGCAATTTTAAAATTTGAGCTGGACCGGAGCCCGGTTGGCCACCCCTTCACCTCCGCCCCTGACTTTCGCATATCCCAATTTAAATATGAACTTATGCAAAAATGTTTATATCCTTTTGAATATTCAAAAATGTTTAAAGACAGAGCTTTAAACATTGGTTCAAATAGGATTAAAACATAGACTAATTGCACAAACAGAATTAATCACAGAGTACGTGGTATATTTCATTCCCAAAATATGACTTATTTAATCATATTAAAAATATAAACTTCCGCGTTTAGAAATAAATAAATAAATGAGTGAAAATTATGTTTCATAAAATTTTAGTCCTATATATTAATAAATTTTCTCTACAATCTTGTAGTGTCATAGACACAATCATCGATCATCTTGAACAAAATTAAATGAAGTGAAAGCCAAAAAACATACAAAGTATTTGTATCTATATTATGCTTAATTATAATTCTATTGATAATATATATCGACATTATATAATTTAATATTTATATTTGTATTTTAAAAAGCAAGAAACAATTACAAAAATTATTCATGCAGCAAGTAGCAACTAACCATGAATGAGAGACCGGAGACGCATGACCATGAGTTAGCGAGGTTAGCGGCGGCGAGCGAAAGCTGACCGAGGTGGCCGGCGAACATGACGGAGACGAGAGTGATGAAATAGAAAGAGGCGTTGGTGAGAATCATGGGAAGGGCGAACCAAATCTGATTCTTGACTTCTTCCTTGTCCATTACCTTCACCCACCATCTCTCCTTTCTTGATCTCGACGGCGTCGCTTCTGATGCCGCCGCCGCCGCCGGGCAAGACATCGATCTTTTTCCCGAGCTCGTGTTTATAATTACTCTAACTGTCTGCTTTATATTAACGAACGTAATATGAGGAATATAGAAAGGTTAATTAGCAATAGGATTCTTGATAACTCTTAACGTAATATGGATCTATATATTCACGCATTATATTGGGCTTGGCTAGTTGGCTTTACGTGGTTTTAAGTGTTATATCACATCACGTCTGGTCTAGGACTAAAAACAGAGTAAAAACATTCTAATGCTCAATCTCTCATCTAATTGTTATAAAATACGATTTTTTTAGATAAAATTTAGAGTTTTTTCTTAAAATGATATTGTACTAAACAAAAAATATTCACGAAATTGTGGTCAGGTTAAAAACATGAAACATTTCCAAACCTATAAACAAAATAAAAGTAATGGACAAAAATATGACATTCATAACCTTAGCGACTAGCTATAATTATATTGAAATAACGATAAAACTTAAACATAGTAACATATACTCCGTAGTTACATTTTTTTTCATAAAATTTTCATTATTTGTACATAGTAATATTTTAGAAAAACCACTAAATATATTTTTCAGTTGTTTTGTTAAAACCTCACCGCTCACATCATAATTGCAATATTTTTGTCCATAAAAATAGTTATATTACACATTATTATATGGACCGGTTGTTTAAATCTCACCGCTCTCATTTTGATGTACTACGTATACGTAGACTCCAAAGTTCAAACTCCATTTGATCTCTGATATAATAGTGGCCGATTTTAGGGGTTCAATAGGTTATCCAGAACAGTACCCAGATTTATAGGGCTCCAGCTTTTAATTTTTTTTAGTATTACAGTGTATAGTAATATTATATAATAATATTATACCCAGAACAGAAGCATGATCAACAAGAATCACCAGAAGACCCCTTATGAACTGTGGAAAGGAAGAAAACCTAACATCAGCTACTTCCACATATTTGGATGCAAATGCTACATTCTCAACAATGAATATACCGGTGATATAGTCTCACTCTCTATCCGTTAGATTGTGATTATAGTCTAATTTACATTCTTCTAACGTACTGTCCAATCTGACATGTATAGTAATATTATATAATAATACTATTCAGTAAGATACAGTTAGCTAGTAAGAAAGAATAATATAGATCAATCATTTTTTGACGTTCTTTTTACTCTTTTAGTTCTCTTTTAATAAGTATTCAATTAATTTGAATATAAGTATTTGGATTGAGAATTTTTTAAAATTTTTATATTAATGAGAGGTCCTGCTTAGTGTTTATATATTTAGAACCGGGATCTCCGAATTTATTACGCGGCCTGACTCATATGTAATGTGGGGGTGAAGATATAACATGAAGATATAGCCAAATTTGCATACACTTCGAGAGTCACGTACACATGAAGCCATTCAACAAAAGTAATGACAGGCATGTCACGTGGAAGCGGTGCTGGTCGCTACTTCGTACTCCGTAGCTTCCGATTCTCAAAAGTGTGCCTTGTTTTATTGGATAGATAATTTGGTGGTCAGGAAGAAGATAAAAGAGGGTAGCTAGGCCAAAATGCCAAATCATTCTGGTTTGAAATTTCCAGAATTTAGGGTAGAAAAGATTTCTCCACTACACACTACATAGACAGGAATCTTTAGAAACTACCACATAGTATATTGTTTGGAAGCAAACCAAGACAAACAAAAGGAGATCGGAGTAATTAGTACTGGTTTAATGGACTAAACCCCCTCGTGAAATATAAATTCAAAACATTATTCCTCAGTGATTTAAAAGATGCATCAATCCCCACTGTGTTCTAATTATTCATGCGTCAAACCCCCGAGGTTATTGCGCGGAATAACCTAGGGATGTCAAAAAAAATCGGCCCGCAATGACCCACCCTGGCCCGAGACATTTGGGGCGGGTCTGGCCCGCCCCGTCTTGCAAATGGGGCAGGTCCGCCCCGCCCCGCCTATACAATGGGGCAGGTCCGGGTATTAATATTGACACGTGCCGTCTAGACCCGCCCCGCCCCGACCCGCTCAATATATAAGTAAACACATATTTTTTCTTGAATTATACTACAAATATACTTCAACAGTTCAACATACATATGTGTGTATACAATAAATCATAATCTCTCCGTCCCCCTGATATTGGGACGGAAGGGAGTGATGTGATTTTTAAGAAAAGTAGAATTATGTGGTTGATAATGAGTCGATAAAGTGGAAATAAAGTAAGAATGAAATAGAGCCACACAAATATTACCAAATATCGTATGAGACAATAATAGGGGGATATCCAAAAATGAAAAAATGAGACAATTATAGGGGGGCGGAGGGATTAAATTCTTTGATCTTATAATATATCAATATATATATATTAGATTGAGATGAACGACAGATTATCAATGTCTTCTTTATATACAACATTTTAATACATATATTCAAGTATTAATATAATTAAATAGATTAACTTTGCAAGTCTAAGTGAGTTTTCCTTAACTTTGAAATTTCTAGCGTATCATGAATTTGATTTAATATATTAATTTTTAATAATTATTTAAAGATAAACTTTATGTAGATTAAATTGGTAACAACTTCTCACAAATAAAAATACATACTAGCTAATTAGGTTACAGCGGGGCGGACCCGCCCCACATGGGACGGGTCATGGGTCAACAAGTTTGGACCCGTGCAGGTCATGGGGCGGGACGGACCCACCCTGTCAAGTCACGGAGCGGGTCTGGGTCTTGCGGTACCTGCTCCGCCCCACCCCATTGCCATGCCTAGAATAACCTAGAAAGAAGTCAGAACAAGTAAGAGAGAGAGTGAATATTTATTCAATACAGAAAGTTCTCTTGAAAAATGGTTGTTATTTACAGCAGCCATAAATGTTAGATCTAATCAGCAAGGGTACGCGTGTCAAGCAACCAGCGGTGGAGGGTCAACTCAACCAGGGTGACACCGACCATAGCACGTGGCCGCATTCAACGCAGTGGTTTGGGTGTGACGTTGTACTTGATGCGACGAATCAGTGCATGTGGGAGAGGAGATCTTGTCGAGAATAGTGCCTTCAGCCGTACCTACCGGGGCCAAAGGCCCTGCACACCGGGGGTCCCTAGTGCCGAAGGCTGTATGTGCCGAAGGCTCTTATTTCAAGCCTTGTTCTTTGGTGATGTTTCTAAACCAGGTTTCCTGTGTTTAAAGCATTCAGCGCGGGGGGCGAAGGCACATCATGCGTATGTTAATTTGTTGGGGGCTTGGCCCATTTGGACCTGTTGGGCCTGATTGTTGTAGTGGGAGTATGTGGGCCGGGGGTTCTTGGACCATATATTCCATCACCCCCTCCAAGAACAAATTATACAATTTTGAAATCAATTTTCTTAATATTATGATTAAATATGCAAGTAACTTTGTCAAAATTTCTATATTATACATGAAAGCTATAGATTTTTCATTTATTTTGCAATTAAATTTGTTCATAAAAGAGGTTTTGCGCATGAATAGCTATAACACAAGAAGGTTTTGACGCATTTTTTAAATCACTGAGGACTACTGCGTCGAATTCATATTTCACGAGGAGATTTGATGCACTAAACCCCTTGAATTTTGTATAAGAGCCATTTGCAACATTCAAATCGGCTGAATGTGCTGAATCGAATGAAATGTTAGCTCACAAGGCTGAATTGATTGAATGTGCGGAATTGTATATGGAAAATTTGTATTTAAAATCTATTTTCATACTAAAAATAAAAAAAGATACATGAAAACTAGCTAAAATGATACTACAAGTTACAGTAACTCTCAGGTAAAAAAAATAACTTCTGTCTTATTGATTTAACTATTATGTACACAACCCGCAAATGGCTTGAACTCCACACAATCTGAAAAGTAGTCCATGCATATTACTGTCACTTGCCACTTTTGCAATAAGCATTTGACGGCAAATTAGGTTTGATCTTATTTCATCATGGGGGATTCTATTGATGCCTAGTCCCTTGCACTTCTATTAAGAAATTTATTGAGTCTATAGGGTTTGGAAGTGGATGAATGAACTCTATTTTAATACCATGTTTTTCTGTTTGTGTTTTTCTTTGGAATTCAATGTTGTTTTGTACATGTTCTTATTTCATAGCAGCAGAGAGATTCTAGATTTTAAATCAAGTGATGAGAAGTTTGGTTTGCCTGTCGTCGGCTCAGTTAAGCCCATTACAGGATCAACGAATGTTATTACTTCTACAGATATAATGGATTCTAAGTCTGGTTCAAGGGCGGACAGCAGACAGAAAACTTTTTATCGTTTTCTTTCCTGCTTTTTCTTTGATTATATTATCAGCCATGTGACGATCTTTTTGTTGAGTTAATATATTTGTTGGAGTTGATGATAAAAAAAATGTTTTTTATTATGTGAGCCCAAAGTGACATGCTTTTAAATAGAAGGAAATATATTGACTTTAAAACAATATTAGTCATTTGGGTTAAATAAATTGAAAAATCTGTTTATACACGTTATTTTACATGTTTTTATACACAGCTATAAAATCATCATTACAATAGATTAAAGATAATTTCAGCCTCAATGAGAAACCCAATGATTAGACTTAGATTTTGTCACCCACAAATGAGCACTACAAAAAAACAGCCCGTTTGTCACGGATTTTTGTCACGGATTTGGACCATGACAAAGTTGTCACGGGCTTTGTCACGGAATAGTCACGGAAATTTTTGTCACGGAAAAATTCATGACAAAATCCATGACATATGTTTGTCACGGATCAAATCCGTGACACAAAGCCTCCGGTGACCGGCAATTTACTCCGGCCAAAATTCATTTACTTCATGGCACTTTGTCACGGAAAAATCCATGATAAATTCGTGACAAAGTCAATTATTGGTACTCCAGTGGTAACCTAATTAATATTGTACGAAAAGGTATTTGTCACGGATTTTTCCGTGACAAATCCGTGACAAAAAGTTCTATATATGGCAGCATAGCTTCATTCGACAGATATCAGTTCCATCTTATTCAGAGTACAATACAATCTGTTGAAAGATTCAAGGATGTAATCTATCAGTTTATCATTTTCCTTGTTTATGGAGATAAGGTATGTCATTTGAATTATTTATTGT